ATATTATATATATATCATATATTTGAGTATAATAATTATAATATATACATATACATATATATGGTAATATATTATACATACAAATATAATTATACTGTATTATATTCAGCATAATATCATGTCAATGAAATGAAGTAAAACATACAAGATATATAAGTATATTGCGTGTATTTGTGTGTATATATGTGTGTGTGTGTGTGTGTGTAATATATACAGATAAAATGTTAAAAGTTGTATATACCATTTCGTATAATTTTTTGTCGATCGAATGAATTTCTTTAAAATATTAGTATAGAATCGGCATTAGAACTGTGCTACTTCTTCGTTTTTATCCTAGATTCCACGCTTTCTTCGTTTCATGTGTCTCACTTAGGGGAAAGTATTTTTTGTCGTATTAGTTTGCGTTATGGCGTCTGGTCGATGCAAAATAAAAAAAAAAAACTGCACTCTACTTGATCGCAAAAGTGTAAAGGTCTTTTTCTTTCTACGTTTCTTCATTAGTATAATATATTAATATATATATATATATATACATAGTATAATATTAATTAGTATTATACATTAATATTATACTATATAAATATAAAGTATATATAATATAGAGATATCTACAAACGTTCATACAATATACGTATATTAGTATTAAGTATATATTATATTATTATAATATATTAATATAATTATAATAGTTATAATAATTATATTAGTATAGCTTAATAAATATATTATTATATTTATTATTAATATAATTTCGATGTTAACATTGCGTTATATATGCGTTAAGATAATCTCAACGTGTCCGATATGCACTTGCTTTTACAATATTCCATCATGCGAATATATAATAACGCAAAAATTTAATAATGCACGGTATTAAGTACTTTCTTCTTTTTTTTTTTTTTTTTTTTTTTTTTTTTCATATTCTTTTTTTCCCCACTCTCTTTTTTCTTTTTTTTTCTTTTTTTTTTTTTTTTTTTTAATTTATTTTTTATTTCATTTCATTTTATTTTGAATAGCTTTAATTGCAGCAGAATCAGTAAAACGTTATGGAATTCGATCCTCGACAAATAAACACGGAAATATTTATAACTTGTTAATCGAAATGAGTTTCGATCATACATTTTGAATGCGTACAATTTAATTTCAATTGATAATAAAATTTTATTACGGATTAAGACATTTGCCTTTGGATTAATTTATTTGATTGTAAAACAAAAAAGAAGAAAAAAAAAAAAAAAAAAAAAAAAAAAAGAAAAGAAAGAGAAAGGAAAGAATTGCAATATTTATTTCTTTTTCTAATTCTTTTCTTTTTTTTTTTTTTTTTTTTCTTTTTATTTTTATTTTTATTTCGTATCAAAGAAAGAGAAATTAACACACGGACTGTGATAACTTTGATTAAAAGAAACTATTTATAAATAAATAAACACACACACATACACACACACACACACACACACACATATATATATATATATATATATATATCTTCTAAGTCTTAAGAAGAAACGAAGATTTACAACTTTTTCCAATACTTCATGGCCAAGATACTTTATCTCAAATCTTTATTCTTCGTCAAGTGGTACGAGACACCATAACGTCAGGTCATTGGCCACGTGCTTGCATTCCTTTAAGTGACGGTAATAAAAAGTATCGGTGAAGGATGGGGAAGGGAAGGGAGAAGAAGAAGAGAAGGGAGGAGAGGGGTCATAGTAGCGTCTTGACACGAAACTCTATACATTCATCTGGTCGTTAGAATAACGATTTAAGCAACGATCTAAGACGTTATCTAAGTCTTAACAATGATATAATAACATTTTCAATTTCGTACACGTATTATTTATTTATATTCGTACGATGTGTAATTCGTAATTACTTAATCGAAAAAAAAAAAAAAAAAAAAGAAAAACTAAGATGGATAAAAAAAAGAAATTGTTCTTTCAACATTGAATTGTTAACAATTGATCTTAACTCGCGTCACGTCAAATTAACCATGAAAATGTTCGATGCTAATCAATTTTGAAAATATATAGATTAACGTGCTATTTATATAGGGTTATTTAACGAAAAGAAAAACGAAAACGTTGGATTCGTTAGTTTTTTAAAATTGTTAATTTATGCCGATTATCATTGAACCGTCCTGTAGAATTCGTCCATTCCTCGTTGATCATTCAATTTAATCCATGAAACATTTGACGCCATTCTGATAAATACTTATTATCGAAATCAATCGTAACTCGTCCGTTCTAACGGAAATAAATTCGTTGAAATGCAAAGGCAAACCTAAAGAGCGTTAACAAAGTGAAACATCATCGATTGATACACTACCACTATCACTATTATTATACTACGTGTAATTAAAAGTTTTTTCTTTCTCCTCTTTTTTCTGCTTTTGTTTTCTTTTTTCTTTTTTTTTTTTCTTTTTTTTTTTTTTTTGCGGTTACCGACAAACCAAAAGAATGGATTCTCTAAATGCACTTTCGAACGGAAGCAACGTCGTTTGAAAGAATCAATGTACCCGAACGTACAAGAACTTTGATATAAATCGATTAACCAAAAGTTTCTCGGACAATGATTAGACAGAAAAAGAAGGGATTTGAATTTCTACAAATCTTAAAAGAAAAAAGAAAAAAAAAAAAAAGAAAGAAGAAAAGAAGAATAAGAAAGATACTAATTTTTTTTATAACATCCCCCGTAGAAAGTGTATCCATGTAAAAATAATATTTTATATTATCGCGTTAAAGGATTATTAAATAAAAAAAAAAAACAAAAATAACAAAATGACAACAGTACTTTTATCTACAGTACTTTTATTATCCTGCAAAAATTATACATAAATATATATATATATATATATATATATATATATATATATATTATAGAAAAAAAAAATAAATAAAATTCATAAAAAAAAAAGAAAAAAAAAAGAAAAAGAAAAGAGAAAAAAAGGAAAAAGAACTAAAATTGCTAATATTACTTTTACGACACCCTATAGAATATACACGTACACATGTCGGCCTGTAAACGAGGACTATCGATTTCATAAAATACAACGTCGTTTTTCTCTCTTCCCTATAAAAAATTCGCGCGACAAACAAAAGTCGACGAATGAGAGAAGGAAGCCTCTACTCCGTCGACGTTCGACCGATATAAAAAATGTAACTGCAAAAAACAACGACGTTGTGATTCGTCTAGATAATTCAAAATGGCGTCGTCAATGTCACGTGCTCCGGATTCGAACACGTTTCACGCGGGAAAAAAAAATAAAAGAAAGAAGTAGAAAAGAGAGGGAAAGAGAGAGATAGAGAGAGAGAGAGAGAGAGAGAAGAGAAAAGATAAAGAAATTAAGATGGGGGGAAAAAAGAGAAAGAAAAAAAAGAAAAATACATTTACGACGAGTATAGTAAGAGGAAGCGTATACGAACATTTCTAATGAATTTCTAACGATCTATTGAAATTAATACGAAAATTGAATGGCAAATAAAATATTATTTTGTTATAACGAATTTCTAAGAAATTTCTAATAAGTAAATTACAAAGGATAACAACGAATATAGAACGATCTGACCATTGTAAACGAAATCATTGAATTCTAATGTATTTACCAATGACTATCTAAGTAGGGAGGGATGGATGGAGAGTGGGGAAAGGGGGAGGGAGAAACGTTAGAAAGTCTTTGGAAAAGACTTAATATAACTCGTTAAAATTCGATCGGATTTAATAACGCATGCGTTTCGTTGACACGTGCTCCCCCCTCCCTTATCTCTCTTTCTCTCTCTCTCTCTCTCTCTCTCTCTCTCTCTCTCTCACCTTTGATACACATATGCACAAATACACACGTGTATATAATTTGCTTGTTTCAATCTTCGGTCATTTTAAAAATGGCGCATGGAATTTCTATCGGCTGGTTCTATTCCCGAGAAGAGGGGAGGGAGAGAGAGAGAGAGAGAGAGAGAGAGAGAGAGAGAGAGAGAGAGAGAGAACACGGTATGATAATTAAAGAACGACGGAAAGGTCGCGTAACGAACGTCATTGTCGTTCAGTATGGAAAGGGTGGGAAGTATGGGAATGAAAAAAAAAAAAAGAAAAAAAAAGAAATAAAAAAGAAGAAAAAAATAGAACGGGGGTGATGAGAGTGATGGGATTGAAAGAGTGGATGGACGAGGGAGGAATGGGGGAGAAAGAGGTGAGGTGAAGTGAGGAGAGGAGAGGAGAGGAGAGAAGAGGAGAGAAGAAGGGGAAGGAATCGCCAATTACGTTTCGCTAATTTTCGAAGCGATATAATGGTGTGCTTCGACCGTCATCGTGTATATATATATATATATATATATATATATATATATATATATATATATATATATATGTATGCGTGTGTGTGTGTCGTGCGTATGTATTATTAGAGAATTATAATATGTTATTAGAATACATATTATTCTATGAAATATAATATGTAACTATTTATTTTATATATTTATTTAAAATATCATCATTAATAATAATTAATTATATATATATATATATATATATATAAACTATATATTATATATTTATTATAAATAATTTACAAATTAACAAATTCTAATTATAGAATTATATATATATATATATATCAAGAACTTTCTATGAATCGGCTACGACGACGACTACGACGACGATGATGACGACAACATAGACGACGGCTATAGCGGCTTCGGTGGCTTTCTATCGGCCAACGGCTAGAATTGGAAAAATGCTTATGTGGGTCAGCATCGCCGTTGCTGGCGTTTGGCTCCGTTCTAGACCAGAATAATGTATTTCAGAAATGAAACCACTTTTTTTTCATCTCTCTCTTTCTTTCTCTTTCTCTCTCTCTCTCTCTTATTTTTTCTTTATCTTTTTACTTTTCTTTCTCTTATAGAAAAAGAGAGAAAACTAACAACAGAGAAAGAGAGAAAGAGAGAGAGAGAGAGAGAAGAGAGAGAAAGAGAGACGAACATTTTTGGATTCTCTTTTTTCTTTTTCCTTTTACTTTTTTTTTTTTTTTTTTTTTTTTTTTTTTTTTTAATTACAAGAAATAATAATATGAATGCACTATGTAAAATGTAATTTCTACGATTCTTAATCGAGTAAATGAAGTACGGATTTTCACTTGCCTTATCGCCTCTCGTCGATGTGATTTTTCACAAGAAAGTAATGAAAAAAGGAAAAAGCGAAGAAAAGAAAAAACAACAACAACAACAACAACAACAACAACAACAACAACCGTGCTGGAGAAAGCTCAATGGGGCCGGTCGTCACGACTAGAAATCGGCAAAGAATTTGCGAGAGAGCGACCAACTATGAAACTATGAAACCCATGAAACCTATGAAACTATGAAACTTCCTTGAAGAAAGTAATATCTTGAAAATTTATTATTAAAATATTATATTGTTTTATATATATATGTATATTTATTATTATTTATTCTTATTATTATTATCATCTTTATCATCGTCATCATCATCATCATCATCATCATCATCATCATCATCATCATCATTATTATTATTTATATCACTATTTATATATATATATATAATAATTTATTAATTTAATTATTATATATATATAATAAATAAATAATTAAATAATAATAAATATCAGATATTTCTATTCAAGATACATATTGATTAATTCTAATCTCGTTAATTTTATTATTATTACGAAACTAAAATAATGACAACGTTATACCGATTAAAATTCTAAATTTAATAAATATCAAATATAATTAATTAATTCCAATTTTATTTATCAAGATCAGTTATTATAATATCATACGAAATATATTACCGAAAAAAAGAATACAATAAAAATTGTTCGTACCCGTTAATTAAACAAATAAAATATACAAAAGCGTAGAAAATTCTTTTTCTTTATTTCTCTTATCTATATATACCAAATGTATATGCATATACATATACATATACATATACATATACATATACATATACATATACATATATATATATATATATATATGTATCGATTCAATCGTGTTTGTTTGTTTCGCGATTTGTTAGATTTGTTTTGAAAATTTGACGTAGAAGACTAGAGAGGGAAAAAGAGAGAAACATAGACGTGACAGTGGGTCGGTCGAAAATAAAGTACGGAGGAGGAATAATTCCTCTCTACATATATATATATATACATACATATATACAAACATATGTAGGTACATCATACGTACGTATATAAATATATACATATAAATATACATATATATAATATATATCACGCATACGTTTTCTATATATCTATAGACGGAGAAACAAACACGTAGAAAACTAGACATACGTGTGTATATCAAGGCAACGAAGAGTGGCGGCCCGATCGGCCGAGAGTCAAATCTATCAAACATTCATCGTCAAATCTCCCGTAGATTTTTTTATTGTCCGTGTCGAATTGAAAAGCGACTCTCCGCCTGTCGAACGTCACCGATAGAATGAAGACGTTTCGCTCCGATGTTTGCGCGTTGTCGATCGACCATTTTCTTTTTCTCTTTTTTCTTTTTTTTTTTTTTGCACTCCTCCCCTCCTTCCCCTCCCTCCCTCCCTCCCTCCCTCCTCCTGTTTTCTTCCATTTTTATTATTTTTCTTTTATCTATTTGTTTATTTATTTATTTTTCTTCTTTTCCTTTGTCAAAAACTTCAAACCTGATTTGTGCGTTGAGTAAAAAGAAGATACGTGTGTAGATTTATGTGTATGTATTTGTACGTACGTATGTACATTTATGTATGTATGTATGTATTGAACGTATTGGCATAAATGTGGTTAGAGAGAGAGAGAGAAAATAACTATCAATATATATATATTTATATATATATATATATATATATATATATATCTGTGTGTATATATGTATGCGTATATATGTGTATGTAAAGGCACTTACGTGATCGATATTAATTTCTCCCTTGTACATGAACTCGACGAGTACTTTGATGTCCGAGAATTTGACGTCGCGCATGATTACGATAGGATCCTTCTCTTCGTATTGCGACAGGATCGTGTCAAAGTAGGTGCTGCATGCCGATAGTACGACCTACGAATAATATAAATATTAATTACTAAACGAAAGAAAAAATATACATATAAAAAAAAACATATACACGTATATATATATATATATATATATATATATTAATTAGTATATTAATTGAATTAATTTATTTATTATGAAAGCAAATTAAATGATTTTGTCTATTTTCCTTTTCTTTTACTTTTTTCTTTTCTTCTTTTTTTGAGATCTCGCATACAAATCATACTATGATGATAAGAAGAAAGAAAAAAGAAAAGAAAAGCAAAAGAAAAATCATACGATCATAATTTTGATTTCTATCGTTAAATTTCAAAAGCAAATTGACGTTCAGATATATTTTATGTCCCTTTTTCCTATCGATAAATCGTCCCCTGTTAATACGAACGTAACCCTTAATAAGATCTACGTTAGTTTGTAATATGGCGCACGTCGATCATCGTTAATTATAAACGAAATGAAAATGTAGATTTCGAGAATGGATGCTGTCCCGCACGTTAATAGCACACGTTCGAATGTCCGGACATATTTTCATCGTAAAATGTGAATAAAACGTGACAGAAAATCCACTCCCTCCCTACCTCCCTCCCTCCCTCTATTTCTCTCTCTCCCTCTCCCTTATTTCTTCATTCGCGACTTTTTTTAATAGTGTCGATAATACCTATACGAATGGTGCTTTCATTTTGATCGAAGTACATACGATAATATATATATATATATATACGTATATATATGTATGTATGCATATCCGTATGTATCTGCATATATGTATGGGAATACAAATGTGTTATTCATACATGAGAGATCATCGAGTCAATGGAAGTTTGTTTCAAACGTTTCAATCGTTCGTACGATTAGAACAATTGATTATATCAATGAATGGAGGTGCTTTTATTTTCATCGATAATCTATGAATTGTTTATATGCAGTTTAAATATGTATAAGTTTCAATATTTGTCAGGTTAGATTCGTTAAGTGAAAATTTTGCTTCATATATATATATATATATATATAAATCAAAATTAAAAAATAAAAAAAAATACATTTCAATCGATTAGTACGTTTGATTATCCCAAATAATGGTGATATTTTTTTTTCTTTTCTTTGCTTTTTTCTTTTTTTTTTTTTTTTTTTTTTTTTTTGTTAAGATCTAGGAAATATTTTTTGTTATTGTTGTTATTGACTACTATTAGCATATAGTATTCGCCATGTGTATACAATGCTGTTGATTTTTTCGATGGCAATTTCTATGCAGTAGACGATTATGAGAGAAAGAGAGAAAGAGAGAGAGAGAGAAAGTACAATGTATTAATCAAGTTGAAAGGTATGATTCGATCAAAAAAAAAAAAGTATAAGTAATGGACTATTAGAAGAAGATTAGGATTAAGCCGTTGATGTGTTTAGCACAGTTATTTAAAATATTGATAAAATCTGATATGACGTATAAATGAAATTTTTGATTCATTAAAAAGATGTCATATCTAATACACGATAAATAGTCTCAAGTATTCATCGATACGATTATCAAATGTAATAATTAGAATTACGATAGAGTTAATTTTCATTGATTTTGTATTCGAAAATATTCAATTTAAAATTTCGATTGAAACATTCAATTAGATCAATTCGTATAACGAAGCTTTTTCAAATTTTTTATTTAATTTTTTCTAAAAATTCGATTGGCTTTTTTGTTGTATCGCTAAATTAAACAAATATCTTACATACATACATACATACATGCATATATAGATATAAACACATAACGTTTAGATTATGCGATATTTCATAATTTTATTTCTTTTCTTACGAAAGGAATATAATCCTACATTTTCGACTAAATTTTTCATATACATTCAATCCTCTTTCTGATCATATTGTCAAATTACAAAACATCTTGTACATATATACATATATGTATATATATATATACACACATACACATATGGACTATGCTTTATTTCATATATTTCATTTATTTTCGCATTTGAATCTTCAACATTGATCAATTCGAAAACGAAGCTTGAAATTTAATTTTTCATGTAGATTCAACCCATTTCTGATTATACTGCCAAATCAGAAATACACTGTGTGTGTGTGTATATATATATATATATATATATATATATATATACATTTAAATTATGCAGTATTTCATAATTTCATTTATTCTCTTATTCAATTCGATTAATTCGAATAATGAAGCTTCTTACGGAACAAAAAAAAAAAAAAAACAAAAAAAAAAGTATAATGTCAGATCAGATTTTTGACTTAATATTTTCACGTAGTCTCGTTATATATATTTCTGGCTTCATTTAATTCCCTTTTCAGTCGTATATACCTAAATCAGAAGTACATATACTCCGATCGATAAAATGATATCTGATCGAAACATTTCGATAGTTAGATTAGTAAGATCTACGTTAATATGCAGAACAAAATGATTATATCATGATCATGTAAACGTTAGCAATTTATAATAACAATGCAATACATTACAAATATATATATATATATATATATATAAATGATATATTTCTTTCGTCTTTTCCTATTTCTGTTTATTATGAAATAACGCCAAAAAAGAAAAGAAAAAAAAAATAATAATAATAATGAAAAGACACATCAATTTCGTCATAGTGAAGGAAGACTCGATCGAGACGTTTAAAGGAGGGACTTTTAACTTTTCATTTAGTTTCGATCGTATATACGCGCGAGCGTAGAAATAGATGACGAGAAAGGGCCAAGAGAGAGAGAGAGAGAGAAGGAGGGTAGGGGATGAGAGGGTATAGAAGGATGAAGAGAATGAGGAAAAGAGGAAGAGTAGTGGAAGGAAGGAAGGAAGGAAGGAAGGAAGGAAGGAAGGTTATCGAAGTCGAAATAAATCAATGTCACGGTGCTTCTTGCCTCGCCGTGAATTTCTTTTTCACGTAGAAACAGAAAGCGAGAGAGAGAGAGAGAGAGAGAGAGAGAGAGAGAGAGAGAGAGACAGACAGATAGAGATATAGAGATAGAGATAAAGATAGAGAAGAAGAAGATGGGAGAAGGAGGAAGTAAGAGGGAAAGAAGGAAAGAAAGAAAGAAAGAAAGAAAGAAAGAAAATTCGTTCCTTCTCCGTTCTGCTAGAAAATTTTCTTCTTTTATCCTCCACCAATCCCACCCCCACCTCCCACCCTTATTCACCCCCTCTCAAGGATAGCATCGATCGTCTTTTCTCCTTGGATTCGTCTCGTAGCTTCGGAGTTTTTTCCTATCTCTTTCTCTCTCTTGCTTCTTCTTCTTTCTCTTTCTCTTTTTTCACATACACGAACACACACACACACACACACACACACGCACACGCACACGCACATACACACATACATACACTGTCTTTTCTCTGTATTCGCGGTATAAAAGTATCACCGCATAAATTTCGTCCGGCCGACAGGCGTTAATTACTCTCAGGCCGGCTGAGAGCACACATACACACAAATATAGACACATACATACATACATACACACAAACACACACACACACACATACATACATACATATAATATCTCTTACACAGTTCGTACAATGTACCTAGAAAGTGGTTGGTTGGTTGTACAGCAACAACAACAGCAATAGCAATAGCAGCAAGCAAGCAAGCAAGCATGGAAGGAAGGAAGGAAGCAAGGGTCGAAGGGGTAACAGGGAGAGGGTTTGAAGGGTGTGGGAGCCACGTCGGCGGCGGCAGCGACGAGAGAAGGTGGAGGAGGAGGAGGAGGAGAGGGAGACAGGTTAAACGCGTCTCTCTTTGGAAATCAATATAATCGCCACTTTTATTATCTTTTATTTATTCCATAATTCCTGCGCATTTACGTCTCGTCGCCGTCAATAAAAACGGAAACGGCCGGCCGTAAATACGTGCGCTTTAATTACGTTCGCTGACTGTCCTCCCCCAACTCTCCACCTCCAGCTACATCATCTCCACCCCCTAACCCTCCTCTCCTTCCCACCCTCCATCTTTTTCTTCTCTTTTTTCTTTTCCTCCTTTTCCTCCTCCTTCTCCTCCTCTCTTCACTCCTTTCTTCTCCTACCAATTCCTTTATCTCGCTTCTGTCCAACCACCAACCCACCCAATCCCTATTATCGCCCCATCCCGACGTTTTCTCGTCTTGAAAAAAAAAAAAAGAAAAAAAAAAAAAAAAGAAAAAAAAAAGAGAGAAAGAAGAAAAAACGCAAGAAAAAAGAAATAAAGGAAAGAGAAAAGACAGGAAAGGAACAAGAAAGGAAAGGAGAATGAACGCGGCTCGTAAATTCGAGAAGTTGCGAAGTTCGAAGAAGGTGGGGGAGAGAGGGAACTCGGGGGCAAGGGTAAGAGAGGGAAGAGGAGGGTGGCACCGGGCGGCCGGATAAGGAAAAAAACGGGGGCGGCTTCGGGGGAAGCGGGTGGGGGGGAGGAGGAGGAGGAGGAGGGAGTCTTCTCCGCGGGAGACAGTGGGAACAAAAAAAAAAATGATAAAGAACGAGGAGAAATAATATCTTTTCACTTCGAGAGGGTGGAAGAGTCCGATGTTCCGAAAAGAAAAAAAAAAAAAAAGAAAAAGAAAGGAAAAAAGGAAAAGGAAAAATAAAGAAAAAAGAAAAAAGAAAATGGAACGAAAAGAAAAGAAATGAAGAAAGGAGGACGTGAGTGGGTAGAGGGGTCGAAGTTGATGAAAGAAAATTAAAATTAAGAATAAATTAAAAAGGAAAAAATGGATGGATTGACGGAGGGAAAAAGAAATATGAACGTGGAGAATGTTAAGTACGTCACTCATACGAGTGACGATCGTATATAATGAAAATATTTCGAAAGAAAAATTTTCTTATCGACGATTACGTTCTACGTCCTCGTCGTCACATAGTCGTCTATTATTTATTAGTTTGTATACCTTAAATTTAATTTTATTTTTCTTTTCACTTTTGTTCATTCTTTGTCCTCTCGTTTGTAGTAGGTTTCGTATTAGGAGGAGGAGGAAGAAGAAGAAGTAGAAAAAAT